TACAAATTTTTTTCGACCTTGCTCGTAATTTGTGTTAAGTGATTTTCTATTTCGGAGCTTTTCGGTTAAATATTAGTCATAGGAAAATTGGCGCCTATATATAAGAGGTGATGGCTTTAGGTGAATCCCACTGTATGATTAATGAAGATAAATTAAATATATCATTATATATTTGCAATTGTTGTAATTTTAAATCATGACAATTGCTATGCAAACATATTTTTGCTATACTTAATAAACTTTGTATTAATACTGATATAAAGACCCTAATGACAATTACTTCTTCAAGCAATCTACAAATTCCAATACTGAAGTACTCTCTGATTCTTCCAATAATTTCAGTCCTCTAGATAATGAAAATTTTAAATTTGTAAAGTTACAAGAAAAGCTTTCATTAATTGCTGCAGAATAAAAAGATAAAGAAAGCCAAAAAATTCGCAGCTTATGATTAACACTCAGTTAAACCATTCAAATAGAAAAAACATGACTTGCAAGAATTGATACTATAGTTGATAATAGCATTTTAGAAATATCTAAATTACCACCAAACGTAATAACCAAAAGGCAAAATAGATATTAAACATATTAGCCTATTCCGATAGGAGTATTTGATTCAATAATTGAATAAAAAAAAAATAGTTTCTTGGATAACTTGACTAGTAAAAATCTGCAACAGGTCTTAATCAAATGAATATCTAATTATATAAAATATAATTTGCTCAAATTAGAAATATAATTTGTAAAATTAATATATAATCTTTAAATAAAAAATTATATTTAATTATTAGATACAACAAAAATAAATTCTAGAAATTATAACTAACTCTAATTAGCTAAACTTATTTCATGATCTTGCCGATTATAGATATGTGCTTAAAATTAATTTCATATGAAATAATAATTGATTTTAATAACTTTGTAGCACTATACTATAAAAAGACTAATCAATTGCTATAGTAATTATTATTAAAAAAAGCAATTTACCTAGTGCAGGGTATTAAAAAAAGGAGAAAAAAAAGGAGCAATTTGGCACACATATATATTTTCAATGCATTACTATTGTTTGTAAAAAAATTTACATAGTAAAAGAAAGGTTTTTCAGTACTCACAAGGCCAATTTTGATGTTTTAACCACCATTAGATGTGTTTTGACAAGCTTTACAAAAGTCTCTTAAGTCAGAAAAGTGATTAACTTAGTATAAAAAAAGTTTTAAACTTGTGCAGGCCACATTCGCAACCCTCTAATTTTTATAAGTAATCTGAGTCACATTTTACTATGATCACTCTCTGGCTAACTCATAGATTACCAATTAAGTAAATAAAATTAGGTATTCTAAGTAAAAATATTTAGAACCCCGAAAAACCTCTTAAAAACTAAGATTGAGATCTTATATTAGCTTTATATTATATTATATATAAATAATTCTTAATATCCAAACTTTAACCCTAAACTTTAAAAACAATTATATATGATGCTAAACACTATAGGTATATTTTATAATAATTAATTATATATTATATAAATTTTAAAAAATTCAGCGCTAAATTTTAAATTTAACATTAAAATTTAAAATTTAATGCTAATTTTAAAATTTTAGCACCTTATATATATTCATATTAGAAATAGTAAATACTTCTATTAAGAATAAAATGAAATAAAATAATAAAATAAAATTTTTGTCAATTATCAGAAGTAAATAGAATTTTTAACAAAATAATATAATAATGTACAAATAACCAATTACAATTTAAATTTCACATATTATATATAAAGTTTATATAACTATTAGTAATAAACTATAAATTAATAATATAAAGTATTGTTATAAAGTTCTTAGCAAAATTTATATAAACTGCAATTTACATTTAATAAATTTGTAAAATGCCACCTTTTGCTATTATAGGCAAAAGAATTTTCTAATAATTTTTTCATTAATAATGAAAACTTATGTATAAATTTTGTAGCCGCAATGTTAATTTCTATATGAAAAATTCAATTACTGCTTATATAAACTCTAAAAAACATATACAAAATAAAGAAAAACATTTTGAACCATATTATATAACACTTCAATTCACAATTGACCAAATGCAAATAAAAACCTATTGTATTTGATTTGGTGAATGCATTTGCTACTGTGGATATTCTATTAGAAAAGATCAATAAACTTCAAGAATAGTTATACAAAAATTGCTATAAGAAAGAAATTATACCAAAAGTATATATCTTACAATGTGAATGTTTGTTACAAACATTTGAAAAACATCTTAATCAACTAAGTTTTAATTATTATAGATGAAACAACTAATATTAGAGCTCAAAGTGTAGTTAATATATTTTTTAGTTACAAAGATAACAAAATTAGTTCATGTTGATTATTTAGAGATAGTTAACAATTGTAGTGTAGGTCAACTCATAATTCAAATTTTAGTTCAATAGTCAATTCTTTTTAATTTACTATTATTAATAGTATCTAATTTAGAAAAAAAGTTTTTATGAAATATTGAAACCTATAATGCCACAATTAATACACTTACTATGTTTAGCATATATTATTAACCCTATTGAGTTGGTATTTTAATTTTGTTTTTATACATATATATATTTAATTAATAATAATAATATTAATATTAATTTTTTTTAGAAAAGCATGGTTCTCAACTGAGCACTTTCAAATTATTCATCAGTTACTTGCAAATATTAAACAAACTTTTAGTTTGTATAAAGTAGACATGCATGTTATCTATCATATCTTTATTATTATAGAGTATCTAATCCAACAAACATACCACTGTTTAATGCAACATGATGGAATACTCAATTTCATATAGCATTTCATATGTATCAAAACTTGGACTAAATTCGTGGGTTTTATAATGAAGAAGGTAAAGAAAATTCTACACCAAAAATTATCAAATTAATTCAGATTTTGTTGATCAACAAGTAGATTCTTGTATAGAAATTTATTTGGTATTTATTCAAGAAAATGCAGAGCATTTTGTTGCTGATGTAGATTTTTTTTAACAAGAATCTAAACCAATGTTTCCTTTTATTGAACAGAGACTACAACAACTTGAAGCACAAATAATTGCAGGAACAACAGCAACTAATTTTAGGCCAATAGTAACTGCAGTATTAGAAAAATTAAATACTTCTGCAGCATTATTTGCCCAGTATTTCAGCAAGCATTTAAAGCTGCTTACAAAAAACTTCAAACCCATGTTTTACAACATCCAGCATGTTCTTTGTTCCAAGCAGTTCAAATTTTTGATCTATGGTTTTTATCACTAACAACTGCTAACCGGGATATCTGTTCCTATTAAACTATTAAAGAGCTAGTTAATCCTTCATCATCTCTTCTTAATGAATAGGCAATTTATTGCAATATTAACTTGAGCACTATAGAATTTATAGATCTACGTATGTTTTGGGACAAGGTTGCTTCGCAACTTCCTCTTTTAAAAAAAATTGCCCGCTATTATATCTGGTTACCAATTTCTGCTAGTGTAGTAGAGCGAAGTTTTTCTGCCTATAACAAAATCTTAGATGATTATAAGCACAATTTAAGCACAGAATCGCTTAAATTTCTTACAATGTTATATTTTAACATCACTGCGACTTTTTATAATTGGACCTAAATTAAGAACCCCGAATCATTACTTGATTTTTGTGATTATTATGTATCAATCACATGACGCATCTATCAAAATCTAATAAAACCAATATAATTATTGCGTCTAACCAATCTCCTCACCTCAAAACCAATCTCTATTTTTTAAAAGTTGATCTGTTTTATATATTTATTTATTTATTAAATATTTCAGCTCATATTAACACATCCGTCAAATATGCGTCATAATTTTTAGGGTAATATAAAAAGTCGCCGTAATGACAATCAAAATTAAAAGTTTGATTACATCGCTAAAATAAAAAATAAATAAATTGCTTGCAAATGCTGAATTTAAACATAGTATCACGTGTTAATCTAATAAAATGGAATAAAATGGAATAATTGATGTTAGTATGATAAAAATTTCCAATTTGGTAGTGGAAGTATTCCCTGTCCCTGAATCACATATATATTTCAAATTTCAGTGCTTTGGTGTCTGCACCATAGGAATATCAAAAAAGTGCAAGAGTATCAAAAACGTAAGTTTTGCATCTCTAAGTACGCCTCATCACACAAAAGCACACGACAAATTTTGCGACCACGTAAGCAACATACGGACCGTCTTTCCATCGATCTTCCGTCGCATCAGGTCTACCATGCCTTGGCTCTTGAACGCGATCATAGTGGTCGCAAAGGTATTTTGCTAACTTTCTATGACATTCGTTAACCAAGTTATGAGTTTTATCCAAAATATAATACATCCTTTTTCTTAATATCTGAGATGTATCTTTTCCTTTTATTAATTTTACCTTTGGTCAAGGCATGATCACTTTGATATATATCAGAACGAGGAACATTCTGTGACCATTTACACATTTCGTACGTAAAGAATTCAAGGTGGGCTCACATACTCCTTTCTTAACAAAATCCACCCAATGGTTATAACCCATCATCCAGCGCAATAATATTTTTCGTTGTTTCTCATTCGGATACACCTGAATTATTTTCCTACATTCTTTCATGTTAAACCATGAACTCAGATTCACCTCCACATTTTTCAATAATTTCGTAATTATCTGGTATCCATAACGTAAAGACAACCGATGAGACATGAAAATCATTATCACTTTCGAATTTACGTTTTTTTTTCATTTACAAGCTTCAACTGTATTTGATCTGTCAAATTTATGAATATATATACTGTATATATACGAATATTGTGTCATACAACACAAATTTATAATATGATTCATTACATTCGAATTATTCATAAACATTTCTCATTAAAAAAATATTATGCAAATCAATATTAGGCCATACGTACAAACTTAATAAATAACCCGGCTGGGTCAAATTCTTGCAAAACTTTGAAAAAAAATTTTGACTATATTTACTAAAGGTGCAGATATTTAAAATATGAAAGGTAACTACTTTACTAAAAATATAACGCAATCGACACATTTATCAAATGTGTCGTATAAGTATGTCGTGCAGGTTCCGTATGTAGTATAAATGCCGTATGCCATAAGTGCCGTATGTGTAAGTTCCATATATAGAGTAATGTATGTTATTATGCAAATAAGCTACAAAAAGAATTTTTGATACCTTGGTTCTGGACCGGTTCTTATAAACTTTTACAGTATACCGGCGTTTGAGATTTTAAATTTTTATGCACGTGCGTTACACTCGTTATCCGGACAACGTGTGTAACTCACGTGCATAAAAATTAACGCCGGTCAACAGTTGGAATGCAAAATTCAATATGCCGGATAACTATTAATGTAAAAAAAAATTCACAAATTTAAGTTTGGCTTAAAAAATTTTATAAAGAGTTTTACTAATAAAGTAATGTTATTATATATCTATGTTTTGCTTTTTTTTACGTTAGGATTGTGATAATAATAGATATATAATATGTAATACAGTAACATGATTATTTGAATACGTATTGAATTACGTATCCTCTCTGGGTGAAATTGAGAATTAGGGCTAATAGATTTTTCTGTTCCACTATCTATGATCTCATTGTTTGATCATTGGATTATAATTGAGCGAAATTTGCTTTACAATGACTAGTTTCGGATTAACATTTAATATTAAAAATATTTCACTTTGTGTTTCATCTAATCGGATATCTTAATGATTAATTGAATACATAATTATTATTGTTTATATCATTTGAGTGACGGAAAGGGAAAACCTGTAAATCATTATCATCGCAGTGAAAAGCACCCCTAATTCTTAGAGGGGTAGATATCACTGCAATGATAATTAGTGAAATGGTTTACGGGTTTTCCCTTTCCGTCACTCATTTAATATATACTATAACTATAACTATAATTAGGATTATTTGAACTTTTTCTACATAGTTCAGTAGAATCAATCATAATTACCGTTGCAAATTTATGAAATATTTAGAAATCTGCAAATCATTATTGAGTTAACGAAAGCGCCTTGTAAACTTGATTTACCAATTACGATCAAGTTATCAAGTTTATATTACTATTTTACGCGAAATTATCGGATTGATAAGCAATATGTACAACTTTAGTCGTCCTTATTCACCCTATCTCACAGTCAGGTTAATCCTTTTACTTAGTGTTAGATTGTTTAGGAATGCTCATTTGTTTGTTACACCGATTTTTTATTTGCCAAGAAAAAAAGTAAAAACAAACGAAATTGAAATATGTCCTTATTAGGAATAATTTAGGTTGTAGATGTGGATGCTATAATGTATATAATGCGTAGAACTTTTTTTTCAGCTTTACCAAAAAAATGACCGATCAAGAATTAAGAAGACAAGTAAGTCCTTTACATAAATGAATCATTGTTAATTTGGTTCATTTATAATTTAATAATTTAATATATCTTTAGGGAGGTTCGTTTCTTTTTACCCTAAGCTTAGCCTTCAAGTCCATAGGTATTATTCACTTTTAATTAAATTTCTTCCATTGTCAAATTCACATAATTCCCATTATCTATTAATTATATTTTGGTTTAAAAATTTAGGTGTTATATATGGAGATATTGGTACTTCGCCCTTATATGGTATGTAGGGTCTAATCCTCTTTTAGCAACTGCTTTAATTTATTGCTTATCGTTATGTAAATCACATAGTGTACACCGGAATCTTCACGGAACCACCTACTGACTCTCGAGATGTTTTTGGTATGTTATTTTAACAAATTTAATTTTTTGTTAAATTTTGGTTAATTTTACTTTGTATTGCGTACGTACCTAGGCTCTTTATCTTTGATCGTTTGGTCATTGGTATGTTTTTAGTTTTTCTAAAAAAAGTTTTTAAATAATAATATTGTAAGTGGAAACAGAATTTAGAATTCTTAATTAAACTAGTACTGTAGTATTAAGAGTAGTTTATCATACGTAAATCTATGCTCTAACCTTAATTTACTTAGGAAATTATACATCACTTAAATTCAATTTCCACTTACAACAATTCTCTAATGTTATTGAAAATTAGTTAATATTGAAATTTATTTTTTAGACGATCGTGGTATTGATAAAGTATGTTTTCATAGTACTCCGAGCTGATGATCATGGTGAGGGCGGCACGTTTGCTTTATATTCATTATTAAGTCGGTAAGTTACATATCATATATGTTCTATAAGTCACGTGAGCGCAAATATATATATTTTTTTGTTTATTTTTTTATTTTTTTAGGCATTCTGGTTTATCTGTACGTGGAAATATGAAATCTGATGAAGATTTGACGGTTATAAATTATGAATCAGTTGATGACTCTGAGGGTCCAAACTTTATTAAGCGTAGTATTGGTGTGCAAACTGCTCTGCTTACTGTGGTCCTCGCTGGTTCTTCTTTAGTAATGAGTGATGGCCTTTTGACTCCTGCCATATCTGTAATTTCCGCTGTTGAGGGTATGGCCGTTCCTGCGCCAAGTTTAACTCCCGCAATTGTTCCCATCAGCTGGTAATTTACTTATATATGTATATTATGTTATCTTTATTTGATAAATAATTTATTAAGTAAATTATTTTCTTTATTTTTAAATAAAAAGTGTTATTCTCGTTTTGTTATTTCTATTACAACAATTTGGCACCGGAAAAGTTGGAAATTTATTCGCTCCAATTGTTTCTTTGTGGTTTATTTCTCTCGCTTGCATTGGCATTTGGAATATTTCTCAACATCCTGATATTCTTAGAGCTTACAGTCCTTATTTTGCTTTTGATTATTTTATTAGAAAGAAAGATGCTGGGGTAAAATGCCTACATCTATTAGGTTTATTTAAATATTACTAATTAGTTTATCAAAAAAAAAAAAGAAGCTAATTATCAATTATTATTTTTTCTATTTTTAAAAAGTTTACTGATCTTGGTGGTGTTTTATTGGCCGTCACTGGGTAAAAAATAAATTCTTCACTTAACAATACTTAATAACTTATAAATATGTATCTAACACCATCTTTTCCCTTTGTTACCAAAAGTGTCGAAGCACTATTTGCAGACTTAGGGCATTTTAATCATACAGCCATTCGAATCTCTTTTCCATTTTTTGTTTATATTCCTTTGGTTTTAGCTTATTCTGGCCAAGCTGCTCGTTTGGTTTTAGATCCCACTGTAATCTCCAATACTTTTTGGTTGACCATCCCTTCTGATCCTGCCATTTATTGGATTGTATTTGTTTTAGCTATATTAGCTACTATAATTGCATCTCAGGCTATGATATCTGCTACCTTTTCTTTAATTTACCAATCAATGCAATTAGATTGTTTCCCGAGAGTTAAGGTAATAAATAATTAATACAAATATATAATTCTCATTATTATTATTTAAAATGTCATTTATTTTTATTAAAAAGGTTGTTCATACATCTGAAAAAGTTGAAGGTCAAATTTACATTCCAGAGGTAATTATAAATTTTACTTTCTTTCATATTACTCTTATATTAAATTCCTTTATATTAATTATTTTATTAGATCAATTATTTCTTGATGGTCGCTATCGTGTTTGTTTGTATCGGCTTCCAACATTCCACAAACTTGTACTTTATATTTCTTATTATTATGATATCTCTTTAATTATTTATTTGGTTTATTCTTTTTTATTCACTAATTTCTTTTTATTATTTTATTTTAGGACGATTGCTTATGGTGTAGCTGTTGCATCTGTAATGATTATTACAACAACTCTCTTAACAATCGTAATTCGTGTTGTTTGGCGTCTTCCTATTATTATTTCAATTCTATTTTTTTGTTTTTTTTTCACTGTTGACGCTTCATTTTTGGGTGCAACCTTACTAAAAGTCGTATCTGGTGGTTGGTTTACACTGAGTGTTGCTGCATTTCTTACTATTGTGATGAGTATATGGAGATGGGGTACTGTTCGTGTGCTAGAGCATGAACGTGCACAAACTCCTGATCTTAATAGACTTTTTAAAGATGAAAAAAAAGTGATGAATGAGAAAATTGAAAGTAATATAAACAATGCATCTCATGAAATTATATTAGAAAACAATAATGAGATTATTTTAGAAAGTGGTAATGAAAATATTTTAATTGGTAAGATTATATCATTATTAATACTTTTAATGCTTCAATAGATTTATAAAATGATAACATTGTATAACTTCTTTTATTAGATACCGGAACCCATTTGACACGCTCGCCGGGTATTGGCTTATTCTATAGTGATATTGGCGCCAAGATTCCACTTTCTTTTACTCAATTTGTAAAACACTTTCCAGTCATGTCTCAAAATGTTGTTTTTATCAATATTCGAACTGTAGCTGATCCAAAAGTTGGTGATAATGATCGTTTAAGAGTGAAGAAAGTTAAAAATTGTGAAGGTTGTTATCAAGTAACTGCCAGATATGGTTATACAGAACAAGTCTCACAAGGAAAAGAGTTTCTTATACAATTAGTTGAAGCAATTAGAAATATTGATCCTACTAACAAAAATTTAACTCATGATTTTAATCCTGATAATGGTTCTATTGCATATGTTGTAGGACAACAATATCTTTGTGCTAAGCCTGATACTCCATGGTGGACAAGGATTTTAATTGGTCTTTATATGGTCATATATCTTAATACAAGAAAATTCTATAGTAATTGGGAAATTCCTGTTGAGAATACTATTGAAGTTGGTGTAAAGATTTCGATTTAAGATATTTAAGATATTTAAGATGCGGTTTAGTATGATTAATACAATTTTTGCAATTCTATTAATATAGTGTGCTGTATATTTATTTTACATATCAAAGCAACTGGTTATTTTAGCATCAATCTAATATACATATATAGTCAATATTTTTCAGTTTCAATTATAAAAACACACATAATGCGTTCATGTGCATGATTTTGAGCGTTTGAATGTTATTTTGAGATAGTGATTGGACTCAACTCGTAACTTAAAATAATTCAAGTTTATCATAATTCGAGTGAGATTCGCGAGTCCGCAGTTGTTAGAATTTGATACCAAATCTGCTTTTAGGGTTGTAATTTGAATTTTGTGATTCGAATAATTCGAATTCTCAAAATCGATAATCTGTCAAATCTGATAAAAAATTAGTCTACCAAGTCCGTTTCCATTATATAAATCTAATAGTTTATAATGTTTTCAAATCTGATAACCTTTCAATACTGATACAAAATCTGTCCACCGTGCATATCGGTTTTGGGAGGTTCAACAGTAATTCGAATAAATTGATACTGTATATATATATATGTATATATATATAAAATACATATTATTTTTTAAAAAAAAAACCTATATAATGGATATCATTTTAAAACAAAGTATACATGTACTTATTGTTATAATCTGCTTTCTATAATAGTAAAAAAATTTTATTATATAACTAATAAAGCAAAAAAGTGTTTAATTACCTAAATCATGAGTATAGCATTTTACAGGGGTTTATCCATTTTATGTGCCATCAGAATTTTGCAAGTACAAAAAAATATCAACTGGTTATCACATTGTTTATTTATGTATTTTGCCAATTTTAGAATGCAAACTTTACTTGAAGATTAACTTTGAACTAAAAGAGATATAATTTGGATAAAGAATATTTTTTTTTTCTTAATCCGTATTTCATGAAATTAGGATTGTCATATGAGAAACTGTTTACGAAGCCTAATTTTTTATATAAAAAGTCCTATCCCTTAAACCGTCCATTTTAGCAGGCAAATTTGCCTGCTAAAATTTTTAAGAAGTTTTTAAAAATTGGTTTTG